ACTAATTGTATGGTTGACATCTTAATAATTTCAGGATTGTAGCAGTTTTCTTGCTGGGTTTTGACAAGGAGGAAATTATAGCTCCATTTCTGTTAATTTAAATAAATTTCACTTCTAGTTGCTTTTACAAATTAACAAGGCATTTACCACTAGAAGAGGTAAAGAAAATTATTCCTTATTTGCAATTTTAAATTCCTGAGAAATAATTCCATAGAGTACTTAGTTAACATAGACTACAAGCTAGCAACATTTGTATTATTCATCATTGAACAATTATCCAATGATGGGCAGTATTCAAGTGTTGCAAATAATCTAGAGTTGTGTTTCAAACCGATTTTAACAAATTCTACTCTGGGGAGAAGCATTCTCCAGTGTAATTTATAGGAAGACACTCATTTATCTAGGAAGTGCTGGTGTTTCTCTGGGATCTGGAGACACAGTTAGAGAAAGTGCTTTTGTCAGTGTGTTTTTCATACACTGCCTCCACTGTTCTGATATATGATGTCTGCTTTTCAAGACATGCTTCTGCTAAAAGGGATGTTTGCCTCCCCAGACCTAAAACACCAGGGCACAAAAATCTTCTTAAAGTCACTCTGGCTCTACACAAGATTAAGAATAATAGACAACCATACATTTTTAAACAGTTCATGTGAGATACAGCACATGGGATAAAGCATACCTGTGGCAATGCCCTTCACAAAATTATGTCTCATTTAAGGTTCCATAAGACACTTGAAAGCTCAGAACAGGCCTGGCTATTACTTTTATCACAATTCTTTTGGTCATGTGGCACATATACTCCATGTTAATGGTTTGATAGCTTGTTCTTATATTAGGCTATGTTTTATACAACCACACGTTGTTTATAAATCTTCTAAAATCAAAACAAAACAAAAAGCAAGCAACCCCCTAAAAAAGACACACACACACACACACACACACACACACACACACACACACACACTCACAACAGACTCCCTCCTTCTCCTCGTATTCTTTGCTGTGATCTAGTTTAAAAAGCCCATGTTTGGCATGTTTGACAGAGACTGGAAGCTGCTGAGTGTGTCATCATACACTGAAAACATAGGTTCATCTGCTTCCTGAAGTTGTGAAAACTTCAGATGGAGATTATGATGATAAAACGTTTAAAACAACTACATATACATATATATGTATGTATATATATGTTAATAGCTCTATAGAGAGAAGAAACTTGTGTACTGTTATTTCTACTGTGCAAATGCTACTTGACAGTTACTAAGCACAAAACTGTAGCACAACTTCTTTTAAGACATAACACAAATGGGTCTTCCTCCAAATCAGGTCTTTCTATTGATTAATTAACCTATTTACTTATTTGTAATGATTCCTAGTCTGGAGGTCATCCTTGAGCTCTTCAGCAGTCAGGGAGATTATGCAGGGTGTGAACTCACATTTCTGACCCCAGAACTGCTTTCACATTTCAGGTTAGCTGCAAAGAAGCCAAGCACAGCTGGAAATGACCTTACCTTCTCCATGCCACACTTACTCCAGGACTTAGCACTCCTCTGACACCTTGCTGAGCTGATTAGCTGAGCTGTTAGGAGACCTTTGAGAATTGGCAGCCATTTTCCAATCATGGGAATGCACCACTACTGTCAAATAGTGATTATTTTTCTGCTACTTTCTTGAAATAAGAATACTCCTCATATCCCTAGGGTGAAAGGTAGAAATACAAGATCTCTTTCCTTCAAAATGTGAATATTAACCTGCTGGCAGGAATGTCTGTGTTTCATAGAAGAGCAAAGAAAGTCCATGAAAACTTAAGGTGTACGATACAGAAATGCATGTCCAGTTCTGTGGAAAGTATTTGGCTAGGCTTTTAAGCAAATACTCTCTGTTTCTCTAGGAGCTTAACCTCTTCCTTATTTAAAAAGCTTTCTCATTAATTAACAATTGAGCAACATAGTATATAATATTTAAGGGTATGAATCCTAAGGTTCCTCTGCCTGAATAAATCCTGCTTATGGCTGTCTAACTCTTTGATCCTGGGCACAGTTTTAACTTCTGTATCACACCATTTCTCCCATGAAATGGGTCCCTATCACCTCGGAAAAACCTACTTCCAGACCTAGAATAAGAGAAACTATATAGAACACACTCTGTTTTCAAAGGATGGCAATAGTCTCTCAATAAGTAATTTATCCAAAGTTAATGGACACTTACCAAACCAGTAATATTGTGTATGGACCTTTAGACCTGCAATCTCACCACCTACATTTTTATATCTTTCCAAAGACAAGAAAAATAGGCTTCTTAATATCTAGCCAAAAGGATTCTTCTTCACAAAGTAGCCATCAATAGTCAGCATTCCCTCATATAGGGGCAAGATTTTATAGCATTCCACTTTAAGATGAAAAGACAAGGTAATCTGATGGATGTAAATAGGGAAAGAGAAAGAGGAGGCTGCAAACAAGTTTGGGAAGAAGAAAGCTAATTATGATGACACTTGTATCTATTAAAGGCTTAAAGGAAAAAGGCAGTTGGGCCTGAGTTGAACAGCATTTTGCTACTGTCTGGTCTTTTGTTTGGCTCTAGCTCAGTTGAATCATATGACAATATAGCATTCTTTTCCTGCTTTGACAGGAAAAAATTACGAACATGTTAGCTAATGAAATACTTCCCACCTTAGTAAATTCAATTTGAAAATGTGCAAGCGAAGTATGCCTTTTGGCTTGTTCAAGCAAATAAAAGCTTAAAGCCAATATTCTCTGAGCTTCTAATGGGTATGATCATAGATATGATGTAGTTCCTGCTAGATATTTGACTTTGGATGCTGAGAATACAACCATTATGTACAGTCACAGTTTCTGATTAAGCTAATTTAAAGTACACCATTCAGCAGAAAAAAAACATAAGCTATAAATGTGAGCTGTGTGCCTAATTTTAATTTCCTAGTATTCACTTACCAAAACACCAAAAGTAAACAAAATATATATACATATGTAGGTACCAATTTATTTAAATAAGGGTCACATATTAACATGTAATAAACATAGAGATATGTAGTGTCATTGCACATCATATCTTTGGTATGCTAAAAGGGGTTCACATTTTGATAAATACTTCCAACATTTCAAACAAGCATCCTAATTGTTGCCAATGGTTGCCATGTTGGATTGGATAATTTAAGTATAAATTAGCACTCTATAAGCATTATCTTATCCAGAAGAGAAAGAGGTGATAAAATACTACTAATTTTGAATTTGGCAGATGAAGTGGTCACAATCATAAAGAAATTAAACACAATATCACATGCTGCTTCAATTTCTGTTTACAGGAGTGCACTTATAGAATACACAGAGGAGATATCTTGTATTCTGCCCACCTCATGTCTTTTCCCACTCATGGTCATGTGTTCACACATCAAAAGTTTAAATTAGAACATTTCTGAATAGTACTTATGACACTGTGAAATGATCTATAATTGAATAATTTGGGGGCTGAATTACAGTTTAGTGGCTGACAAATTTGCCTCTCTGTATTCACAAATACAATAATATATATATTACATATATATATACATATATATGTAATATATATATATATATGTATATGTATATGTTATATTATAGATTATAACATAGCTACCCTGGCTAAGCCAATACTTAGTTTCACAATGCAGGACTGCTGTTATACTTTTCCCTTTTATCATCAGAATGTGACGAATTTGTTTACACATTGATATCATTTGGTCTGTTTTATCTACATTTTTGTTCATTTGCCTCCTGTTTCTGTCTTAAGCAATGCAAGGATTGTGTCTTTCTTAATACCAATGCTTATTTATTACCGCTAGGCAAATATTATTAAATTAAAATGCATATTATATTTCTTTTTTTCTTTTGGTGCAGTGTATATGTGGGGACTTTTGCGTGTACATCTACAAAGCCTAGGACTTCTAATTTTGTTTACATTTTCTGTTAAGGGAGCCACTGGAATGTGCCTGCCTGCCAAACTTCCTTATCCTTAGTCCGAGGTTACAGGAAAGAGATGCACAATAGCTTTTCTGGGGGGTTTGATTATATATACACAGGTCCTCATTCTTGAGCAGTGGACATTTTACTTAGTGAACATTTCCTATCCCCCGAAATGCTTATTATGGGAAAATATAACAAGCTCCTTTCACTTAAATGCCTAGTAGGCTTTTGACTCAACACAATGCCATTTCTTTTCCTCTGAGATGCACACCATGTATAAAATAAATTCCCATGCATTCAGTGTTTTTGATGAATAAAGTATAGAGAAATCTTTCTTCCTTTTTTAAATACAAAATGTAGAAATCTTGTAACATGTGATCTTCTCTGTCAGTCATTTCTGTTGTAATGAGATCATTTTTTTTTTTTTATTATTTGACCATCTTCAAGCTTAGTTGTATGAGACTTTCAATTTTCTAACTTCAGGAGGATTATTAAAAATTATTTCTTTCCTTTTTCTTATATAAAGTGTTTGTTCTCTACCTTGATCTGTTTAGCTTTGATCAGAACATCTTTGTGAACAGTTGAAGTCACCCTTCGTTATCATTACCTGGGGTGGGAGAGGACTGCCATTGTCTGTTGAATGCTAGAAGGAAGAGTTGAGATGCTTTAAATGCACCGGATAGGTGCAGAAAAAAATTGATACCCAAGCAAGATGAACTACAAATGCTAGTCTAACTCAGTAATTCGTTCTTACAATGTTAATTTATTTCCTCTTTAGGGTAATCATTAAATTGAAATGTGTGTTATCTTTGTTTATAATATACTATTTGCTTAATTGTCATTGAAATTTCTAAGTATGTATAAAGCTTAAGGTAATTAATCTAAACTAATAGTTTGAAGACCATGTACCATTCAAAAATAAATCATGTTTCTTAAAACAATATTAGATGTAATGATAGTTTCTATGAAAGTCACCATGAAGTTTCATAATCTTGATGTATGTTTGTTAATCTACTTTGTAGGTCTCTTTAGATGGAATGTAATAAAGCAGAGGCCTCCAGAGCATCGATGTGTGAATTACTGTCACTCCACTAAAACAGCAAGCTTAGTTGTCACAGCCACAGACACCTCAACCCTGGATCCCACGACTCTACATTAAGCACTGGAGTATTTATTACTCTACTGTGGGAGAAAGCCTTTGCCAATGCTTACAAGGAACTCTTTATGCCTCTTTCTCTGGATCCTGTTTGATGGAGGCCTCCTAACCCCACTTCAGCCACAGCCACAGCCACAACAGACTTCAGCTGCGGAACCAAAAGAAAATGTTATCCACCTGTCGGGGAGACGATCCCATTTCCAACGGGTTAAACGTGGCTGGGTATGGAATCAGTTCTTTGTGCTGGAAGAATACATGGGCTCCGAACCTCAATATGTGGGAAAGGTAATGCTGTGTTTATTTTGACAACCACTTGATAGGAAGGGGGAACTGTGTGTTGTGCATGGATGTATTGCACAGGAGTTAACAAACCAGTGACTAGAACACTGTTTTTGAAATCTATCAGATTTGGGTTCTCTTCCTGACTCTAGCCTGGGTAAGCCTTGCCATATCCCTTCCCCCGCTCTTTATCTCTTTGTTTCTATTTAACACTTTCCCCATTGTAAACAGACATGAACTTAGAGTAAAACTACAAACAAAAGTTGAAAGGATAACACTAAAACAACTTTGAATTAAGTGTAGAAATCATGAAATTTGATCATTGTTTAATTTCAAAATTTTGAAAATCCATCAACTGAGTAGAACATGGAAGAATGGTCAGAAATACATTGATGCCTAAAGAGTCCAATCCAGAACAGGTTACTCTCAGTGATTACAATAGTGCACTAACCACAAGAGAACTCTCAGACCACCTTTGAAGATATAACCCTAGAATACAAAAGTTTCTAAGTGTAGTGCACAAAGCTGATATTATATGATCCCTCAATCTTATCATTGTCTAACATAAGCTTATCAGTTAATGTAAATACTTTGTTATGGTTATTTCATATTGCTCTTATTTATTTATTTATTTATTTATTTAATAGAGTTAGAAATTCAGGGTAATACAAGAGTGTGGCTTTCAAACTCTGTTCCCCAGGCAATAATTATTTTAGCTCTGCTTATGCCTTGTGACATCACCTGAAATTTCATATCAAAGGACTGAAAAAGAGCATCATATTCTTTGTTTTTGGCTGAGAGAGGTACATAGATTTTAATTACCCAACCTGAAGGTAATCAAAGCAAAAAATTGTAAAAAATTTTTGTGAAGTTTCTTTTTCTTTTTCTTTTTTTTTTTTTGCATTTTCCTTTTTCAAGTATCATTTCCCCTTCAACTATTGCTTGAGATTTTAGAATGTTATCTTTGGAATTTTAATGGTAGTATAGAATTTATCTAGTTGACCAAAAATAAATTACTTATGAAATGGATTTAAAAGGAGTATGTCTAATATCTAATCTATTGCATCTAAATATCACCATTTTCTATAGGTATGTGACTTCACATTAGGATAGGTGCTAAGAATGCATGGTTCTCATACAAGATGCATTTCTAATGTAATGAAACATGAGTTGCCAAGATTTCCTTTCCACAAGAAAACAAATTAAAGTTTAATTAACTCTCTGTTGATGATTCTGGATTTGGGAATAGAATTATGACAGCACAGAGATTAATTCAGGACATTGTATCAGTATATTTAAAGAGACATAAACATATTACATTCCTTCTGTTTCTAGAAAAGGCATTGAGACTGTTTTTAGAAAGGTTAATCAGTACAGAAATTACAGGATTCAGGAGTAAGAAAAATGTTAAACCTAAAAATCCAAAGCTGAGTAGAGTTCTGACTGCTGTTAACAGGGTTCAAATCTGGGATTCTGTTTCTTTTTAGAAAGAACATAAAAGAAAAAGATAATTACCAGATTTCTTCTGTTGGAAACTGCCTTTTTGGAGAGATATTGAGTTTTTCATATCTTTACCCCTAAATGGTATCACACAATCTAGTCAATTGAGAAACTGGCACAGAACATATGCCATAAACATTGGCATTGACAACTTTATTTTTAATCACAAAAGATACTTTGTTTGGCTCCTATTCAAGGGGAATCATATTATGGTATTGGTTATGATGAATATTAGTTTATTTCTATTGACATAAGATGGAGGAATATCTAATGATAATGGCAGTCTTTTTCCTCAATAATAACTTTAATTTACTAAAATATCCAGGTGAAATATAAGATTACTTTTGGTGATATAATATAAATATCAGCTTTATATACAAAATACATTTTAAGACTTTATCAGTTAAAGCACAAACAAAAATAAAGGAAACCAATAAGAACAAAATCTTTGAAACATACACATTTGCACATAATTACTTGGGTTTGCACAAGTACAAGTAACTGCATTCCTATAAAACTGTTTTGACATAGCCTTGGTGTATGCTCCAAGAAAATACTGCACTTTTTATCTCACAGAAATTATTGACTTGTAATTTTAACAATTGAGGTGGACTGCAGCTGACAGTATTTCTTCAATTTGCATTTTCCAAAGAAATATACGAAATTCAATCTTGTGTAGACTGCTTTCAGATGCATCACTTTATTCCACCATATTTTTAATACAGAATACATAATAACTTGATACAGTATTAAGTCATGTGGGTTAAATGGAAATATGAAGGTCCCCAGGTTGCAATTATAATAGGTAAAATTTATTAAATGCTTCCTTTGGGCACTGTTTTAATTGCTTTACATAGATAAACTTGCATAACCTTTAAAACACAATTATGAAGGATTTTATTAGTATCTATATTTTGAACACAAGAAAACCAAGACAATGAAAATAATGTAAATTTGTGTAAGACTAGAATATTAAAAGCTTATATTTTAATTTAAATAATCATGTTCCACTGTCCTAGAATTTTTCTCAAGTGACAAAATTTTAGTAATTTCTGTAAGTAGTACAACAGACACATTCTTAGAGATCGTATTGATATAGGAAAGGATGTGATTATATGCAGAACATTGAGGAATTCATGAAAGGATTCATAGATATGAAAGAACCTGAGATAAGTCTTGAAAGATGCTTTTTTACTGGTAAATGTAGATTACAATGTGTACATATAAGCCTTGAGCTTTCAAAGACCACTTTGATCCTAGGAAGTCATATTTTAGTACTCCCAGAAATGTGAACCCAGTTTTTTTTTTTTTTAAAGCATGGAATTACATAAATATAAAAAGATTCAATTTTGTTGCACAGGTGAGCAGTATTGTTCTCATAATAATAATGTTTACAGAATTAGCACAGATAGAATTCCATATAAACTGAAGACTTAACAAAGTCATACATGTACCTAATATGACACATCTATCCCACATACAAGAACAGAAAACATTAGCCTTTTCCCCAGGAGACTGTGTAGAATAGTTGGGTAAAATGGACATTTTCCAATAATTGGTAATAAATGGTGGTGAGGAGATATAGAAAAGTGTTTGCTTCTTCACTGTTGGGGAGATTGCAAATGGGTGAAGCCAATGTGAATATCAGTGAGAATTCTCCAAAAGCTAAAAGTAGAACTATCTTTATTACCCAGCTATAATACTCCTTCATATAGTCTCCAAAGACCCAATACCCTGCTATAGAAACACTTGTTCAACCATGTTGATTGTGACTTTATTCATGATAGCTAGTAAATGAAAACCACCTTCAACTGATGAATAGATAACAAAAGTGTGGTATGTATTCACAAAGGAATTGTATTCTGATGTAACAAAAATGAAAATTTTATATAGATAGAGCTAAAAAAATATTATACAGAATGAGTTAACCCAGACCCAGACAGAAATACAAGGAGAGCATGTTCTTTCTTAGTTGTCCTTCATAGGTTTAAATCTTTATATAAAAGTGTATATAACCTGGAGTAATCACAGAATACATAGGCAAGTACAACAAGGATATGTGGAGTTGGGGTGTGCACAGATGGATCTCTAGAGAGAAGTACTAGTACTTCATATGTAAAATGAATGAGGAAAGGAAAAAAAAAAAAAAAAAAAAAAAAAAAAAAAAAACAGGAACCAGGACTTTACAAGCAGAGAAAGGAAAACACAGAGGAAAAGGGAGAGATAAAGTACAGATTTTGTAAAAGCTACAGGTTAACCTCTCATGTTATTAAAATAGTTATATTAAACATACAATAATATGTGCATACACATATAAATATATTTTAAAAGAATTGTGAAACATGGATGTTACAATAAATCTTTCCACCAAAAGATGCCTGAGCCCTACCGCCACTTGGGCAGTCTCTGCCAGCCGCCCGAGTTCTGCCCACCGAGTTAAGTCCCCAAATAGTACACAGAGACTTCTATTATGTACAAATGCTGCTTGGCCAATGACTAGGATTTCTCATGTGCTAGCTCAGTCTTAATTATCATAAATCTATATATTTTATAAGACTTATCTTATCGGACACCTTCCATTGCCATCCTCCCTTGCCAGTGGATCACATTGCACCACTGGAGGAAGAGAGGTATAGTGGGAAATTACCAATATGGAGTCAGGTAGAAATACAAGGGTATTTAATAGGGAAAAGCCTTTCTTACAGAGCGACCTAGCCAGCCTGGGTGGCAGCAGTCTGTACAGCAAGAAGCAAAGAGAAACTGAAAGCACAAACCCAGTCACACTGTGTCACACTGACCATGCCCTCACAAGCGTGGTCAGGCACACCTTTAGCCAGCCCCTTTTAAGTAGGCATGGCTACAGCTTCCCCTACAATTCCCCTTTTAGTCTAAAAGAGGATTAAAACTTAACAGTTTAAAGTATCCAAAATGAACAATCATAAAGGTAAAATATAAGAAGATACAACAATCTGCTTATGTCACATCCTAAATATCTATGTTAACTAAACACTAAAGTCATCTGAAAGAGGTGTCCAAGCCTGAACACCTCCTTCCAATCCCAACCATAAACAATAGGAAGCTATCCCTAACTAGGTATATACACTATCCTAAGTGACAACAATGGGGAAAGGGGGCGTAGCATTCTCCAAGTTACTTCCTGCTGAAATGGGACGATGATAGTCACGTGGGGTCCTGTAGGAAGAAAATGTTAGTATCCAGTCCATGTTAGATGGGATTGACTTGATTGAAGATCTCGCTTGAAATCCTCAACTTCATTGAAGTCAGTACCCGAACCTTTGGCCGGAGTATCAGTTGAAATGGAGCAAGTTCCTTCTTGAATCCCCCCTTGGGGTTTCCCGACCCTAAGGAGTTTCCTTGTATGTCCCTGGTCGATCTACATTTATTGGTCCAGTGTCTGTCCTTACCACATCTTCTACATAATCTAGAAGGCAGTGGCCTTCCATATGAGGCATTGTTAGAATTTATTTGTCTACAATTTCTCTTAG